CTGTTGCCACTATTTTCTTACAGTTCGCTTTTGCTGCTGTGGTTATTCTCGTTGGCGATATTGCAATTTTTATCCGTTGCTTGGTTGCATTGTGGCATCATAATTTCTTTAATTTTTTCCTATGCACTTGCTTCCTTAGCGCTTTGTTGCGCAAACTTCTCACGTAACTCATAATGTTGTTTTGCACTTGAAGTGCGGAATATGCATTTTGTTGTTTAAAAAAAAAAACAACTTTCATTCTTTATGCGTATAGAGGAAAGCTAGCAGCGCCATGGAAGCTTTTGGGTTTGAAGTATTGATGCTGGAATTGGAACTATAAAAATTATGAAAATGTCAAAAATCCATGAAATGTCAAATCGATTGAATGCTCTCAGCACTAATCACTGAGAAGTTTTGCAATTAAATTTTTGATTCTTTTATATTTTTGAAATTTTTTTACATTGTAATTTTCAGTAATTTTTAAGCAAAAAACACAACCGACATCAATTCTCATATAAAGAGGAGCGCCGTTAATTTCTTCATGATCCAATGATCGCATCTAAACCAAATTAGTATGGGACCGCCCCTCAGGCACCACCTTTCAGATAGAATGACTGAAATCGGTTGACCAAAGTTATGCGGTAACATATGTAGTACATAGAAAAAATAAAGAAAAGAATATTCCGACGAATTGATAACCTCTATTTTTTTTGAAGTCGGTTAAAAAAGGAAATGGATTTAAAAAGATTTATAAAGTGATTTTTTTTTTTAATTTTCGATTTATTAGGCATTTAAAGTCTTCTTTACTTTTTATGAGTTTTAGTATTATTTTAAGGGAAGCCCCCTTGCTCTTTTTCACTTTTTTATATCCAGTGCACTTTTCATTTTTTCATTATTATTTTACATTTATTTTTTTTATCTACTATAATTTTTCATAATATTTTTGTTTTTAATTTTTAGAATTTATATGGAAATTGACAGAAAATAAAAAATCATTTTCCATTTAAATTGCTGGTGAAACCAGCTGTTAATGATTTAATTTTCAAGCCTTTTTATATTTATCGATTTTTTCGTATGTTTTTATTTTATTGAATTTTTCTTGTTGATTTTGATTTTATTTACATACTTATTTTTGTAATCTACCGTGCGAGCAAATATTTTTTTTTACTTATAGACTTATGCTCCTGAAAGGGTTAATGGAACCAAATGTTTATGTGTTCATGTAACTTCACTGCCTCCAATATTTAACATATATTAAAATCAATAACCAAAAATAATTGCACATGTACCAATGTATGTACTATTTGTATGGCTTTCAATAATTTTCATATTTTCCATATCCGCCCTATTCACTGGCTCAACGAACAATTTATGTATTGCGAAAAACCCACTAGTAAAATTGAGAGAGAAAATAAAAGAAAAGCAAAATATATATGTAAATTTCTTCATGTATTGCGTTAGCAGAAAATGGAAAGAGAAAAATTCAAAAATTGTAAGATGGCAAACATCGCAAAACTAAAAATTCGCGCTACCGTAAAACTAAAAACAGTTGACCGTAAATATGCACGTTAAATTGCTGTATAGCTCATACATGCACATTTACATATGTACAACTCCATCTTGTATCTCGTGCGGCTTAACAGTTATTTGGTAGAGCAACAGCATGAGTTTTATTAACTTTGTTGGCTACTTGGTTGGTTGACTATTTACTTGCATCCTATAGGTATGTAAGTAGGCAGCTAAGTAACACATGTAACTTCACTAAGTAGGTAATTTCTTAATTGCAATCGCTGCCTTTTTCCACCACACGCTGGCAGCACAACACTCTTGTTATGTAGTTTTTTTTTGCTCAGTATTTTTTTCTACGAGTAACTGTAGTTGATTGGTGGGCGTTACTTAGTACTCGTAGCTCTTTAACCATTTCGGCTTGCTTTACATGTGTACAAAAATATATAGTAGCAGCATGGCAGGTGGGCGCGCAGCATGAGCTACATACATAGCTGAGTGATGTTCGTAATTGACTTTACAACTTAATTGCTAGCTTATGTTGATGGCAGTTAATGACAGTTAACGGTAGTTGTCAGTTGCATGTGACGGTAGGTGTTTAAAGGGTGGTCGGATGAGGGAATTGTGTGCGGTTGGTGTGAGGCACTATGCGAAATGTATTCCTTAACTTTCTGAGTATAATTTGAGCACTGAAAAGAATTATGTCCATGGACGAATATATCACCGCTGATGTCATGAGCATGTATGTACATTCCAAGATGGCAAATATTGTATTGTTTTCACTCTACCTTAAATTAACTAATATTTCACAGCGGAACACAGATTTCCCTCCACATGCATGCCATTAGGCCACAGATCAGTCTTTCTAGCTGAAATATACTCCATATAAATCTATGTGAGGCTCTTCTACGACTAACAGTCTCGCAAAACGATTATGCTGTGTTTGAGAACAGTCTAAGTGGGCTACAGTTTCTCCAACTGTTTGATGACCTACAAATAATACGATTTTCGACGACCTTCAAATCGATGATTTTCTTATTCACCAAACCACTTATTTACCTCTGAATTTTTTGTTTATTTTTGGATATAAAAAATAGCCTGCCGAAAGAGAATTATTCCCACGAAACTTTGTCGTTTTAACTGCAAATTGCCCTAAAATCCGCCCAATTTCTTTTCGGATCGTTACGAATCAACGCAAAACTGATTCAAATTACGATGGCTCTTCAAGAAACACAAAGCTTTGAAGTTGACAAGCGGAAGCTCGCCCTGCGATTATACACCGCTTGAGGTCTAATTTGGTGCCATCGGTGTGTATATGGCCACAGAATTAGGATACAGGTTCAAGATTTGGTCTTCTTCCCATTCGCTTCCAGAGGCGATCCTTGTGTGAAAATAATTCCTCAGAGCAAGAGACGCAGTCTAGGCGCTTGAAGTTTGCAAGAAGATCTTCTATAATTCTGGATTGTCCGAATCTCATATAACTCGTAATAAGAATACTCTCAGAATAGAAGCAGATATTCAGAGCTGATGAGCATTCAATATTTGTCAATCTCGAAAAGGCTTTCGACGGCGTAGAGATATGCCCGAAAAAGCTTTAGCTATCGTTAAATCTACATACGACAGAGCTGACTATGTGTGCTTTGCAAAGTAAAGCTGTCAGCGACCTTCGAAGTTTACAGCGGGATTGGATAAGTTTGCATATTTTCACCTCTTCCCAGTCTTTTGGTGATTGGGGTTGTATTGGCGGTTGCAATGAGACTACTCCCCGACTTCGGACTTCGGTAGTCCAGGTCCAGTTCGCTGCAGCACATTGACGACGCTGACCATATACATATGTCTTTGACGCATCGTCTTTCTGATCTGTCTAAAATAGGCAGATTCTCCGAATTTTTTTTCTTGTAACAATCACAAATGAGCAGTTGCTCAGAAAGGCTAGCATTGCGCCTCTTGACATCTAGATTCGAAGACAGAAATGGGAGTGAATATGCGTAATACAAATGGCAGTATTGTAAATAAGGTCTTGGAATGGAATACCCTAATCGGCAGAGGCAGGCCTCCCGGCAGAATGCGCAAATCGTGGGGAAGAAAAGTCGATCGGCATGCGAAGAAAATGGGATTTAACTGAAACGAGGTCAAAGCGACTGCCAAAAACAGAACCAGATGGCGCGCAGGCGTAGTTGAACGCCTATATTCCGCTTGGTATAAAGGAAACGAAGAAAAGAGAGAGATACGCGAAATGTTCACACTTACGTAAATCTGCGAAGTATTTTTATTTAAAAAATCTATTTTTTTTTTGTAACCTTGTGGCTGCTATCTCGGCTGGAACTAATGGAATAATGCAAACAAATTCATGATATACATACATATCTGTACAAGTATAGCTTAAACTATTCCCAAATATGAAGAAACAATTTAGCCATTTCACGAATTCGCACGCGGCTCGTTGCGCATAAAATCTGCATATGATTTGAAAAGTAAAAAATTTGCATAATTTCAACATTAGCAGCCGTGTACATCCGGCTTAGATTCATTGCGTTCGCCAGGCTTTAATGAAAACAAAATTCATGCTTAAGACAGACCAAGTGTACTTAAGCATATTTTATGCATTGATTTTGCTTTGATTCTTACGAAACGCTATTTTATTTACATTTTTTTTTTGTATTTTTTCCCAAGCTTTTACTGCGCATTTCTTTTGTGTCACAGGCAATTAATGCGCATTGTCTTTTAAAATTCTCCTTTTTATGCGCTCTAATTGTAAAAAAAAAAAACCTTCCCAAGCTGGGTTTGATTTCGGCGCATCGTAATGACAAAGATCGTTAAATTTGGGGGCGCGCTGGCTGGCAGCCGCAATACCGTGCAGAATTTTGACTGTGTACTTGAGCTCATCCACACATGCAGAGCAGATCTGGCATGACAGTCTACATACTACTGTACTGACGACTGACTGCCTTCGTTTGAGTTCAAAGTCAGTCAACGACTGCTCTACTGTTTAGTTGAAGTGCTAATCAAGGCTTGACTTGTTTGATAAAAATTCCGATATCTTTTTTTTATTATTTTTTTTTTTTTGGCATAAATGTAATTATAACATATTCAAATAAGCTCATTGTGAGCTGCTTACTTGAGCGTGATATTATTCATTTAGCTATGTATGCTTGCAGCTACTCCACTCGACTATAATTCCAAGTGAAAAGCCTGACAGCTTATAAACATAGTTGCATTTTATGCTCAATAATAGTCAAACAATGCAAGGTTACGTTCGTATATCAGATGGGACTGTCTGATCTCGAGGCTTGAGTGCAAGATCACTGCTCAGCTATGTGGCATAGAAGGGCACCCAACTTAAGCAGCCGCTTAAGCGGCACTTTAGATAAATTTAATGTAATTTAACAGTTTCGCGCCAACGGAGTTTGTAAAGCAAGTGCAGTGTAAGCACAGCACACATGCCGCGACAAAAAAAAAATAATAATGGAAAAAGTATCCAGCTGCTGTACCAATTCTGGGCACTTGTCAAAGGCGCGGCATGCTGCCAAACAGCCGCTTTCCGCTGCTTTTTCGCTTGTTTTCTCTATTTACATTTTTCAATTTATTTTTTCAACAACTGTTGTGCCGAGCGCAAATTGCCAGCAAAGTCAAGTGTCAATTTGTTGCAGGCGCTGCTTGATCATTTAAGCGCTTGGGCTGCTGTTTTCGGACGGCGTCAATGGCAGCACGGCCTTGATAATATATGTAAATAAACTATACTAACTCCAATTGTTTTGTGAACATGCTCATAAGTTACTGCGATATTATGCTGTGTTATTTTCTTTTCATTGAGCTGCCTATTCTACTTAATTAAATATTTACTTAACTGATTGCATACTAATCGCTTTCTGCTCTTTTCTTTGCAGCCAAATGAATCTGGTTTCGTGCTGCTCGGTGATCTCTCATTGGAAACTTCAACCGATTCGGATTATGATGATTTCTCCATGTGCCCACCATCTCCCTGCGATGTTGAATTCGAAAATGCTAATATTGTGATCGATGGAAAGTCAAGCATTCGACAGAAGTCCAAAGAAGCAACGGTAAGTGGAATATATATATATACATATTTAATAAATTTACAGTCGTAGGGTTCGTTTATCTCGCGCGCAACGTTGTTAAATATTTCAAGCGCACAATTAATTCATTTATCACAATAATCATTAAGTGACACTCGAGAAATAGCCGCTGCAGGCAAAGTGAAAAGAAGCGAAGCAAACGAGCAGAGGTCGAAAAAATCGTTAAGTTAAAAATAAGTATTTTTTTAGTATCTAGTCACTAGAACATATGGGAAATTTATGCACGTGTACTAAAATGTATCAGCCGCTGAAGGCAAAGTGAATAGTAGCAAAGCAGGCGACCAAAGACCGAAGAAGTCGTTAAGTTAGACATCACTTTTTATGTTATCTTGCCACTAGACCATATGGGAAATACATTTTCACAAAATTTTTCGCACATTGGGTTCTTTATCGCGTTCGAGGCCTTACTGCTACTACTAAGAAATTGATTACCATCTACTTTTGCCACATTCGCTTAGACAACTATGATTCTTAAGCCACAACATTTTATAAAAAGTCTTATCACAGCGCGTGGTAGTTATAAATAATACAGTGCTAAATTTCTATAAATTCCACTCTATATGCGCCGAAACTGTTTGCTTTTAATATCACACTTTGATAAGATTAGATTGTTATGTTCCTTTAAAGTAGAAAAATGATTGCTCTTCTTGTCAATAGTGCAAATTAATTGTTTACCATTTTCTTATTTATTATCGTTAGCATTTTATATAAGCATAATTCGTCATAAATTTGTATAAAAAAATTTACGTCGCATATGCAAAGCCTACATATATATTTTTATATGGGGTCTCCCGTCAAACAATTTTAAAAAATGCATATCTGTGGATAAGAAAGACACCTTTTTAAGACTTCTACTTTATGTTTTCTTTGCGCTTATAAGGCGGTAAGAACTGACGTTGGGCTTGCCACCCTATCTAGGAGCGATAGAGTACTTTCTATGCTATGCTACATGGACAGTGGTGTTAGCTGAGTGGGTTTAACCCTAAAAGCCCAATCTACGCCTGGGCAGGGAATACGTTTAATAAGGCTATGTTTTGTAGTTAGCTTATATAACAAACTTTAATATTTTTTTTTGAAAAAATGATTAAGTATATTTTAACTCACAGGTTGTCTTTCAAACTCCCAAATAGATTAGGCTTCTAGGGTTAATATGTGGTTGGTGTCATGTGGGGTGCCTACATAAGCCGGACATTTGTTAGGTATGTCAGGGTGAATTATGGATAGGTTGGCGTTAGTCTGCTTCAGTATCCATACCTTAGTGGTTCCAGATTTATTCCGGTCTCTCGAGGCAGCTGACGCTGCGATAACTTTTAGTTAAACTCCTATGACGCCATTCACGGGGCGAGAGTTTGTCCACGCCTTGATTGTCTTTCGATGAATGTTGGTACCTAATGGGTAAACTGTTGCTTCTAGGAATGAAGTTCGTTCCAGTCGTTCAGGTATACTAACGGCTCTATTCTGTATCAGTGACAAATTCTTGTCATAGTTTTTATTACGGAAAAATATATGAAAAAGTTTAAATTTGTCAGTAAAAAAATTTTTGTCACCGAAAACGGAATTGGGCTGTAAGTTCTAGTACTCTTCCGTTCAAGTCTGTACACCCTGGGCAACGTGAGCAATCCGAGATAGAAGACATAAACCCTTTAAGGACTTGTATCTCGAATGGAAGAAAGGGAGCTTGTAAGGTTCACTCAAGACTATGTGGTAGGAAGGACCAAAGCTGTCTGGGGCGTTTGTCTTGCAGCAAGTAGCTCAATATATAAATATGGTTGTGGATTTGGCTTGAACCTCGTAAAAATCTTCTTAATAACAACTTAGTACCACGAAAATACTACTTTCGTGTTGCGTTCAATATCGAATGCCGCCACTCGAGCCCTCATTTCAATATACTTTTTATACCCGAGCGCACTTGTGCACAAGGGTATATTAATTT